TCTCCTCTTTCCCTTTGTATGTTCTTCTGCCCAATTTGAATAAAGTAATTCCAAAAATGCCTATAGTAACACACTATAGTCGGTTTGAGTCAGAGATTACCAGTCAACATCAAAAAAAAATCAAATGAAAGCAAAAATTCCCTGACCTACAAGGACTATGGAAAGTAGGGGAAGGCAAGCATTGGCTCTTTTTTGCTAGGGCTAACATATCCTGGTTGGAGCAAGCACCCCATCTCCCTCTAAGATGCATGCCCATGGGCATACACATTTGCTTTTTCTGACTCCGGCTCCTGGCTATGCCATGCCACTTCAAACAAATATTTCTAGAGCCACAACTATGATCCACACAGAGCCTGATGAAGACCTTTAGAGGCCCTAGTACCAAATGACAAAAATTTTTTAATGGGAACAAAAAGATGTCTTTCCTAGATTTTTGGGTTGCAAAACTCTGGCTGAGATCACTGCATCCTTACCCACTCTCCGACTGTTTTTCTGGCTCTGCCTTCCTGATGCCTGAGAATCTGTGTGTTTTGCCAGTTGGATAATCCAGCAAAACTGCCAGGCACTGTCTGAGGCACTAGGAATATAGATCCCCACCTGTGACCAGGTTGAATTCTACCAGAGCGAGAAAAGTCATAGGCACACAAATGAATAATAAAATTGGATCCTGGATCTCAGCCAGTGGTTTGAGAAGACATGTAAAGGGGAATAATCTCATTATCGGACACCATGTCTATTCAATTGAAGGCTAATATTGACACTATGACCAACACCTCTTAGGAACCAACATCTCCTTGGTGCCCCCAGAATAATGAGAAGTGATGGAGATGAGTCGGGGCTGGTACACAGAAGACATTGCATTGGCCCCGTGTCTTCGGGAACCATCCTGAGAGCAGGCATTGGGACAGCTGTAGTGCATAAACCTCTTCCCAAATAAGCTATTATTCCATCCTCTCAAATTTCTTCCTCATTCATTACTGCTTCCTATCACAATAATTTTCCTCCTGTGATAGAGTCGTTATTAAGAGAAGCAGCAATGGAGGGTTTAGATGTTGTTCAAAGAGAAAGAGTTTCAACTGATGTCCTTCTTGTGGACTCTTGGAATGTTTTAGTCTTCAACATCTGCCAACAGGCTCTGTCACCACCTCCCGATGTTTAGTGGCATTCTGGACCACTAAAAACCATACTTTTCCATCCATATATGAAAATATAAAGTGTGTCCCCAAGTTATAGAAGCCCAGCAGAGCAAACAGGGAAATGTGTCCACATCTCAGATACATGTTAATGACAATGGGACTCTAAGTCAAAAAGGAATGCTCTAAACTCTTAGCTGAGTGTCAGCTTAGCCAAAGACCAGCAGGATGTTCAACATTTCTCAGCAGAGAATTAAATAAAGCAATAGAAGGCCAACCAGGGAAGGTACCTTTCCTATACCAGAGGATACAATCAAGATCTCTCTGATTCTCTTTGAGAACTCCACCTTCAGTTTTCTGCCTTGCTCTGTGAATAGCAAGGAAGGCAACAGGCTACAGAATAAATTCATTTCTGGGCTGCTTCTCTACTTCCTCAAGACCATCCAAGTTATTGATTCTGGTTAAGTGATCACAGCAATTGGGTTTAGGTTTTCAAAGGCTGCTGTACTCATGGCCCTGTGCTAAATGCACATAATGCATTCATTTCCCAGTAGAAAGCCTTGATGTTTTCCAACTACCCCCACGTCCTGTTGGGCCTCCTTGCTATTGTACAAGCTGTTGGCCTTGTCTGGAATGGTCATTACCTCTTTTATCACCTGGATAATACCTGTAGGACCTGTAAGACTCTGTTCTGGGGCAATTTCTTCTGAATCTCCCAATTCTGGGTCAGGTTCCTGTGTCCCTACTCATTCAATAAAGTAACTATACTTACTATGTTTCTTCGGATACCTTGAATCAATTCATAGTGGTTGCCTCTCCTGGCTGGGAACACAGATAGCTTAGAAGGAGGTAAATAATGGATAGCAAGACTGGGATGGATAGAGAGAAGTAAATAAAGGATAGCAAGGACTTCGAATGCCAAGACAAAATGAGGTTGGACTGGGGTCTTAAGAGCCATGGGGAGCCATTGAAAGTTTATGAGCAGAATAGTATCAAGATAAAGTGATGCTTCAGGAAAAGCCCTCTGAAGGCAGGCCAGGAAATAGATCAAGGAAAGGGAGAAAACAGAAGCATAAAGACCCTGCCAGTGGCTGGTAGAAAAATTCAGGAGAGCAGCATGCCAAGGCCTGGAATGGAAACACCATGGGAAATTTTGTAAAATAGAAAGGTCAGCCCTTGGTTTTGTGGAAGAAGAAAAAAGAAAATTTCAGTTCTGGTAGTCAAGAGAAAGCAGTAATGGTGCCTTTAGCAGAATTGAGAAGTGGAGGGAAAGGGGATGGAGAGACTATAAAGACAGTTATTCATTTAAAGACAAGATTTCTGCCCTCAAGGGGCTTCTAGTAGAGGCTTAGGTAGCATGGCCTGGGAGTGGATAAAGGCTGAAGGTCCAGGCTCTATTAAGATCACTGATATCACGGACCTGCTCACAGACCTAGACTCAGCAATGACATGATTACATCTACATGACTACACAGACAGATGGCAAGACATACATATATATAGCACCACATCACAGACACGTGCACAGATGCTAAAACATGTCAATTTATTCTCCCCCTCTGATGGAGCTGTATTCTCGCACACTCACACAGACATACAATTCCTCATTCATGAGACAGACCTCCCTTGATATCCACAGGGATTGATTTCAAGAACCCTATGGATACCAAAATCTGCAGATGCTCAAGTTCCTGATATAAAATGGCATAGTATTTGCGCATAACCTAGTCACATCTTCCTATATACTTGAAATAATCTCTAGATTACTTATGATACCTAAAACAGTGTAAATGCTATGTAAATGGATGCTATCCTGTGCTGTTTTTTATTTACATTTTGTAATTGTTGTATTGTAATTTTTTAAATATTTTTGATCCACAGTTGGTTGAATTTGCAGATATGGAAACCATAGAACCTGACTATACACTCACAACACACACATTTTGAGAAGTAAAATAGATCAAGTGTTCATATAATAAGAGACTCACTCTATTAGTGAAGACTGTGTGGCAATAAGAACCAAATCAGAAGATTGGGTTGAGTCAAAATCATATTAGAAAAGACTTTTTGAAGAAACATATTATGAATTTTGTTTTATCTTTATTTTTATTGATACATAATATTTTACATATGTGTGGGGAACATGTTATATTTTGTTACATACATAAAATGTGTAATGGCCAAGTCAGGATATTTGGGGTCTCCATCGCTTTGAGTATCTATCATTTCTATGTGTTGGCAACACTTCAAGTTTTCTCTTCTAGCTACTTTGAAATGTACAACACAATATATAGTTACTAACTATAGTCACCATACTCTGCTATCAAACATTAGAACTTAAACTTTCTAACTGTACATTTGTACCTATTGTCTAACCTCACTTCATCCCCCTCTCCTCCCATTCGCATACCCTTCCCAGCCCCTAGTGTCTGTTATTCTACTGTCTACCTCCATGAGATCAACTCTTTTAGTTCCCACATACCAATGAGAACATGCAAAGTGTGTCTTTCTGTGTCTGGTTTATTTCACTTAACATAATGACCTCCAGTTCATCCATGTTGCTGCAAATAATGTGATTTCATTTTTTATGGCCAAAAAATGTTTATCCATTGTGTGTGTGTACGTGTGTGTGTCTGTGTGTGTATAAACAATGACTTTTTATATAGAGAGATACACACACACAATGGTAAACATTTTTTGGATATATATATACACACACACACACACACACACACACACACACACACCACATTTTCTTTATTCTTCCATCCATATCTTGACAGAAATGTGGATCAGGCTGATTGCATATCTCTACTATTGTGAATAGTCCTGCAATAAGCATGTGAGCATGACTATCCCTTTGATATATATACTCATTTCTTTTCTTTTGAATGCACACCCAGTAATGAGATTGCCAGATTGTATGGCAGTTCTATTTTTAGTTGGTTTTTTTTTTTGAGAAATATCCATACTATTTTCTATAGTGGTTGTACTAATTTATATTTCTACCAACCATGTATAATAGTCTAATGCATGATATTATTTCTAAGCTAAGAGCATACTTTTGCCACTAAGCTTCATGATCAGGTATGTGAGTGGTGGTTCCTTCATTTCATTTTCCATGCATTTTCATGCATTTACAGTGACTCATGAATTTTCTGATTTGCTCTTCACCTCAATCCTATGAGTAATTTAGGGCTAGGTATGTTATTGTTCCCACCTTAGAAATAAGGACAGTAAAGCTCAGAGAGAAAAAGTCTTGCTCAAGGTCATATTGTTAATAAATGGTAGAAGCAGGACTTAAATTCAGATCTGCCTCCAAGGCAGTTACTCTTCCACTATCATGTAGTATCTGAAACAGCTCATAAGCTAGGGTTGCAATTATTTTTATAGTCTTTATGTATTACACAGAAACAAGGAAGAATTGTTGAGTCTGATGCGAAGGAGAATATGGCCATTATTTCCTTTTCTGTATCATTTTTTAAGAAGAGTCCCAATTTTTAAATTGTGGTAGAGAAAGAAAATAAAGCAAGTGCCATTATTTGTTCAAATAACAAAAGCATAGACAAGCTGCTGAGTTCCCCTAGAATAGAACAGGAAAAGCTCTAGAAAAAGAACCTTAAAGTCAAGCTTCAGAGACAAGCCTAGGAGAAGGGAAGGTCATTGGAAGTGTCAGGTGAGGAAAGTGGAGAGCTGAGATGCAAGATTCTCATCCACAAAAAAATTTTCATTCTCATTTCCCTCATCACAGAGTACCTAGGCTGGGCAGCAGAAGAACTGTAACCATCCCTGTGCTATGGGCAGCTGTGAGAGTTTTGGGATCAGAAGGACCATATTTGGTTTAAACTATTCTTTCTTTCCCAACAGACTCTAAAAGAACAGGAGTTTGCACCTTCACACCAGCAAGTTTGTAAGTATGCTCATCTTCAATACCTTTCTTTGTGGGGAACAAGAACATTTCTAGTAGTTCTGTGTGTAGGAAGTTCCGAGATGAGTCTTTCAGTACCAAGTTGCTAAGCTGAGGGATGCAAACACAGAAGAGAAGTGAGGCTCCTCTGCAGGAACTAAGAAGGCAAAATGGCACCGTGGCCAAGTGCATGGCCTGTGGGACTGATGGCCTGAACTCAAACCCCAGCTCTGGAATCTACTAGCAGTGTGACTTTTTTGGGCAAATAATCTCACCTGTTTCTGCCTGCATTTACTTACCTATAAAAATGGTTATACTGGTTTCTACTCAACAGGGTTAATATGAATTAAATGTTAATTTCTAAAACGGGGTTAGAATAATGTCTAGCACATCAAAAGTATGTGATTGATTTTTGCTTTTTATCATTATTACCAGCATGTTTATACCTGAAATTAGACCATGCCTAATCCAACATAATAATTTCTGAGAACTAAAAAGATATTCTAAGGTCTTCTCTGGACAAACAGAGGCCCAGAGAGGAAAAAGGATCCATCCACCAAGGTCATATAACTAAAGAATAGTTCCCATCCACTTCCCATCCCATTTCTTTTGGGCCAACCATTCAGTGAATATAGTTAAAGGGATTATGGAAGAAGCCAAAAAGCCAATGCACTCCCATGAAAGAAGTTGGAGGGAAGGAGCAGTGAGTTGTGCTTTACTGAGCATTGACCGTGTGCCAAATTACTGCTAAGCACCTCCATCTATACGGTGCCCATCTTAGACGGGAAAACAGAGTCTCAGACAGGCTAGATAAACTTGCCCAAAGTCATGGAGCCAAGATTCATTTGTGTTCAAGACTCTTTCTTCTGAGTTTCCCTGTCCTTGATGGTGCTTGTTGCAGGTGTCACAACCCAATCCAAAATCCTGCAAGGAGTAGCACAGGACCAAGCTAGAGGAGACCACAGTTTCTCTCCTATCATAGGCACCATGCAACTCACAGAGGGCCATCTTCATTTCAGTCACCCTTTGTCTCATACAAAGCACATTTCTCCTTTTGTTACAGATGCACCTTTTAGAGCGGATGGAGATAAGCCAAGGGCACACCTGACAGGTAAGCCTCCCTGCTGTGTTTTATGGGAGACCATGAGCCAGAATCCTAAGATTTCTTTCAGCACTTTATCAAAATTCGCTCTAGTGGCTTAAACTGGAAACTACATTCCTTGGTAACAGACTCCTCCTCCTCCTCTCAATATTCCTGTGTGTGTGTGTTTGTGTGTATATATACACTTGTGTGTGTGTGTGTGTATGTATATATACATATATATATACATACACACACACACACACAAATGTTATCTTTATCCATTCATCTGTTGATGCACACTTAAACGTTGATTCCATACTTTTGCTATTGTGAATAGTGCTGCAATAAGCATGTGAATGCAGGTATTTCAGTGGAAGGCTTTTTGAATGTCTTCTTCCCTATGGAGAGTCCAAAGGCCCATGTCTCTTGGGCATTTTCTTTCAGATAGAATCTGCAAGCACCACCAAGGACAGGGAGACTCAGAAGAAAGAGTCTTTCTTTCCTGTCTCTCTCTTTCATTCATACACCCAGTCGTTCAGAAATGGCTTCTCTTCGACTCGGAGCTGCAAGTAATTCTGGATCTGGTCACAGACAAAAAGTCCCCAGAGTTGCCAACTTACGCAGTTCATCTGTGCCCTATTCAAGATGATGTAACTAAACATTTACCTTCAGGGAAGTGTTTCCAAAGAATTTTTGTTGATATATGGAAATCAAGAGAAATCCCACCCTATCACCAGTTGGCCAACTTTACAAGTCTAGTGTAGAAATCCTGGTCATCTCACACCCAGAGTTCCTATACCTCTGAGACTCCAGAGGAAAGAACAAGACAGTGCAAAAGGATGTTTTAGAACCCATTGAAAACTTAGAATGTTAAAAAGGAAGCATACCCTCCTGACCTATAAGAAAATTTGCAGTCTGCAGGGGGATATCCATGTGGCCCAAGACATTGGTATTATCATTTGACTAAGAGGAAATTATTTGTGGTGAGCTCTGAGTGAGGATTCAGACCAGGGAGATGTCAAGTTTCTATCACTTACCTCATGCCTGTAAGACAAGTGTTTTGTTCTTGTCTTATAGGCATGAGGTAAGTGATAGAAATAGATGAATAGGGATAAAACAGTTCAGTCAATCACTTATAGGGCAAAGAATGGGAATTTGAAGGGTCTCATGCCTGGCCTTGTCATAGATGAACAAGAGAGGCATGGGTTTTATCTGAGTCATTTGGGAAAGAATTCTTGCAGCAAGCCATTTTTCTAAACACAGAAGAATAGAAAGATTTCTTAACCTTCACTGTTTCCCAAGATCATAGGTCTAAGGTAAAATTAAAGTTTTTCAGGTCAGTTTTTCCACTCAGTCTCGGAAAGGCAAAGTAATGTGCCCCAGGTCACCAGTCCAAGATACTACTCTCTTTGAACAAATGTGTATGGCCGCTCACATATTCTTCATCCGTTCCTCCCTAAAGCAGTTTTAGCTGTTAGTTATATTCGATCACTGTCGTCTTTGACAATAATATGAGACCCTTTTTTAGTAAAGTCCACAGTTTCCAAATGAGCAAATTAAACCTCTCTCTTGTCTTTCCAGTTGTGAAACAAACTCCCACACAGCACTTTAAAAACCAGCTCCCAGCTCTGCACTGGGAACACGAACTCGGCCTGGCCTTCACCAAGAACCGAATGAGCTACACCAATAGATTCCTGCTGATCCCAGAGTCAGGAGACTACTTCGTTTATTCCCAGGTCACATTCCGTGGGATGACCTCTCAGTGCAGTGAAATCAGACAAGCAGGCCAACTGAACAAGCCGGACTCCATCACTGTGGTCATCACCAAAGTGACAGACACCTACCCTGAGCCGACCCAGCTCCTCATGGGGGCCAAATCTGTGTGTGAAGTAGGCAGCAACTGGTTCCAGCCCATCTACCTCGGAGCCATGTTCTCCCTGCAAGAAGGGGACAAGCTAATGGTAAACGTCAGTGACATCTCTTTGGTGGATTACACAAAAGAAGATAAAACCTTCTTTGGAGCCTTCTTACTATAGGAGGAAAGCAAATATCATTATGTGAAAGTCCTCTGCCACTGAGTTCCTAATTTTCTTCATTCAAATGTAATTATAACCAGGGGTTTTCTCGGGTGGGAGTAGGGGGGCATTCCACAGGGACAATGGTTTAGCAGTGAAATTTAGGGCCCAAAATTTCACAGTTCATGTGCCTTACTGATGAGAGTACTAATTGGAAAAAGACTGAAGACAGCAAATATACTATCATGGTTGCTTGGAGGACTGGTGAGTTCCTAAATTTAAATGAAGACACTGATCACTAAATAAATGGATGATCTACTCAGGTCAGGATTGAAAGAGAAATATTTCAACACCTTCCTGCTATACAATGGTCACCAGTGGTCCAATTATTGTTCAATTTGATCATAAATTTGCTATAATTCAGGAGCTTTGAAACAAGTTCAAGGAAAGCTCTAGAAAACAGTATAAAACCTTCACAGGCAAAATCGTTCATCAGTTTTTCCATGTACTTTCATGCCTTGCCTAAAAAAAAAGAAAAGAGAGTTGCTTTGTCTCATGAACGTTCTCAAGGAAGGAGTTGGTTTTCATGTCATCTATAGTATATGAGAAAAGCCACATTTCTTTTGATTACGTACACAAATCTCAAAATAAGCAAGCATGAGTTTCACATGTATATAAAAAATACAACAGCTGCATGTATTCAGCAGAGTTTTCTTGAGCACCTATTACGTTCTGGGTGCTAACCTTAACCCAGAAGACACTATGAAAAACAAGGCACACTTCACTCAAAACTTATGTGAACACTGCTAGATGCTTCCTGATCAAATATTCATCAACCTAGTCTAAAGAATAACACCAAGCCTTTAAAAAAAAAAATCATCTGAACCTGTTACATCAGATTTCTGGCACTCTCCTGACTGTGGAAGATAGCCAGCTGATTAGGTCCCTCAAGAAAACTGAAGACAGATATCTAGTTAACTAGATCAACTATAAAGACAACTTGTTTGATATTGGAAGACAGTGGACTTATTCCCTGGGGGAGGGGGAAGAAAGAAGTCAATGACCAAATCTGGAGAAGTTAACCTAGATCTTTGAGGTTTGATTTGCAACTTTATATGCAGAGTATTGTGTGGGTATTTTTTCCTTGAAATATTCAAAGAAATTTATATATGGGATTAGCTAATGGGCCTAGCCAAGACCTTCCTGGAAGGAGAGGCTGGACATTGAGGAGGTCCTTTCTATGCTTCAGTGGGTGCATATCCTCTGGTCTATAAGATTTTCTCATGCTAATATGTCAAGGGCAAGAGATACAGCTCTGTTCTCTTAGCCTTTTTTGACTGTCTGTAAAGCAGGAATCTGCCTATTTGTTTCCCAGGAGAAAATGAGCTCATGGGATGAAACATGTTAACTTCATGTGTTCTGTGGCATCTGAGCATTTTGGTGTGATATGACCGGTGACATTGGTCCCTATTATAAATGCTCCCTATGCTAGCAGACCTCACGGATGGGTCTGAGAGCAAATATGGCACCAAAATCACTCTCACTCTGCTTTCCTGTAGACTATAGAGGCAGAGAGGCACTTGGGAGGCTCCTGAGCAGAGTGTCTAATGCAGTAGGAGTACTCAATATTTTTTTAGTTATAATTAAATAAAAATTAATGTCTGATTTCTCAGTTTGGAGGTTAAGGCTATAAATATATTTTCTAACATCTGCTAGGCTAACTTTCAAACCAGGCCTTTTTCTCCCCTTCACATTCCCAAAACAGTCAGCACAGACTCAGTGAGAGCACAGAGGGGTGTGGTCACCTCCACCTGGCTCACCAGAGTCTTCATAGTGGAAGTGAAGCCTGAAAGAAGGTGGGTGGGGCCCAGATGACCTCAGGGAAAGGGCATCTCAGATGTAGGAATTACCCTTGACTTAAAGCAGAAAAGAAAGATTGCTCAGTAACTTGAAAACTTGCTTTATAAGAGAGTATTCCCTCAACCAATTCCAGGGACAGTATTTATTGGTAGATCAAGAATGTTTCCTCAATAATTCTAGTCTAGCTCCATGAATAGAACTAACACCCATTAAGAACATAAAACGTTCTTTCTGGACCAGTCTTCATGGTGCATGAGAGTACCAGGCAGCTTGGGTATGCAGGAGGAGATTTGCACACAAGAGTGGCCTGTCCAAACATGCCCACTGTTCCATAGGTGACCTAGTGGATCTGGAAGTTTATCCCAAGGCAGGAATTTCCTAATATTCTAAGACATTTGAGGCTTTGGGAAATTCTCTGCTGTGTATTTACTTTGTTTCTGTCATAAGCGTGTTTTTTTTTAAGAATGTGTCATAGCTTAAGTTTTTACTGTGGATTTTGTTTAATTTTGTATGGTACAGTATATCTTCTATGATTCAGAAAGGCACAGTCAGACATTCCTAATAGAGCTCATGTCAGAACCTCTGTTCCCAAGGCATTACCTCCATAGCAAAAATTAGTGCACTGTTTTCAAAAGTGAGGTGGGAAAATGCTTTTAAGATCATGTAATGTTACCCTAAAAGAGGTTAACAGAATGTATTTAGGGTTTTGGAGGGAGAAAGAAGCTTGCTTTAGAAAATAGTAAATTGAAGGAGAAAATGCCTTCCTAGTTAAATATGTCTCAAAAGGCTGAATTTAAATCAATTCCACAAACATTTACTGAGTACCTACTGGCCCTGGAGACACAGAGAGAAATTATTTAGTCTCAGACACACTCATTCTAACTTCCCAGCACCTCCACTATCTGCAGATCCTTTATTTCAGTTGTATTAGCTAATTAATTTGCTAACTTTAGGCACATGGCCCTCATTATGAAAATGGGTGCCATTTGATGAAGGCTTATGTCTAACAAAATGATTTATATTTACTCTAAGAGGTTTTTAAAAAAAAAATAGCTACTCAAGAATAGTTTCCCATAAATCAATGGGGTAAAAAAACAAAGTTACCATTTTCTATGGTAGAATCCATTATTTAAGCCACATATAGAGAGAGGTTATTATTTGCCGGACTCAAGTTTGGTCATCAACACCCTTAAATATATTAGAACTTTATGGATGACCCAGGAATGCTTTGAAAATCTGTGTTCCTCAGCAAATGCAGAAACCGTGATCAAAATGCACAGAATCACTAACATTTTTATGCTAGCATGGTTTCAATCTATTTGGCAAAACAGAATTGTTTATGTTACTAAAATTTCTAATTTGTTTTTTTACTAAGGTACAGTAAGGAAAGGGAAAAGTATACCTTTTCACTTCCTGAAATGTGTCAGGTTGAATCAATAACAGAGCACACCAGAACAACTATTCAGTTCTCATCACCCCACAGGAAATTCCGCGTCTGTGCTAGTCAATAATCCCCCTGGATTATAAAAGTTTAACTAACTCACTGTGCACAAGGCATGGCCATTGCCAGCATTCTCTTGCGAGGTATTTTCCCAAGCCCTTACTCAATTCTGTTTCCATGTGACATTGGGGATTAATTCTGCAGGACAGAACTGTTCACATTCTGTACCTTAAAAACACATGCAAAAGTCTCTTGCCTCAAGATTTCTGATTTTCCTATGGCCCAGAGTCCAAGAAGTATCTTGATATCTATAGCAGAATTTTTAAGTGTATGTCATTATCCTAGATATTAACATTTTTGCATCATATTGGCAGCTGGACCTACAGAGAATTTAGCAGACTGTTAACCTAATAACCCTTGAATCCTTTTGCACCAGTGATGAGAGGATGTGGATCAGAGCCGTCATATCCATGCCCTGCCACCCTCTAACAACCACATTTACAACTTCCCAAGTTCTGAGACATACTTGCCCTGACCCCTTCCATCATCCCATTTTAAGATGAAAATACCATATCATCCTGCATGGAAGAAGTTACTTGCCCAGGGCCACATGATGAGTTAAAGGCAGACCTAAAGCTAGGAAGCTATCTTCCTGAACCATAATCCTGGACTCTTCTAACCTCTCTACTCTTAGCAAATAGTGTTCATTTTAATGATTTGAAGGAAGGAGGAAGAAGTATTTTCAAATACCTATAGGACAACATGGAAGCGAAAGGAGACTTCTTCTGTATCTCCCCAGAGAAGAAAGCTAGGGCTACAGAGTTGCAGTTACAAGGTTGCCCTCTCTCTGGTTTGATCCCCAAAGGAACTTTCTACCCAGAAATAGAATTTTTCTAGGAAGTTATTTCTCCATCCCTGGAGATACTCAAACAAAGGGCTTGTCACAACGGTTTTTGTAGAAGCTATTTCTTCATAGAGGTTGGGGAGAGATTTAGCCAAGGGAACTCTGGGGTCTTTTTCAAATCTATGATTATGTGGCCATTTTTTAATTGACTTCCACATGTTCTAGTTGATCACTACAAACCTGGCAGGCCTTCTCAAGAGTTCAGTGGCTTCCAGCCTAGAATCAGCTGTCATTTCCCACTTGTTCAGAGAGTGTCCAACACAAAATACCCCTAAGATCTTGGCCAATAGAGACATGTCATGGAATTTTAGAGATGACAGTATCTGCAGAATTTATTCCAAGTTACATCATTTCAAGGATGAAGAAACCCAGGTTCAGAAGGATGGCATGGTGGCCAGTGCCAGACGGTAGGTAGTTGGAGTGCTAAGAGTAGAAATCAGATCTGACAATAAGCTCAGCAGTCTTTCAACTTCATTCATAAATCATCTATTTTTTTGAGCATCTATCATATGGCAGCATTTTCCTGGATACTGGAGAGCTGAGAGGGAACGTGACAGGCAAGTCCCACTCTCACAGTGTATACATTCAGTAGGAAGGAGATACACAGTAAATAAAGTACCAAATAAAGTAGCTGAACTTCATCAAATGATTTTATTCTTAAAGTCATTAAAACATGCAATGTTCCCCTTTTATTTGTTTCAGGGGTTTACAGATGGAACAAGCTTAGGTGTTTATGTGGTTTTAGTGATAAACCCTATGTGCTTTCATTTATTTTATGTTTTATGTTAAAACATCAACCCCAAGGTAAAATGCATATTGTATGTTGTTGGATATGTATTTAACTGGTATGCATCCCATGTCTTTGGGCACTAGTGTATGAATTCTAATCTCTGTAAATGAAATGTTGTATGTGTTAATATATTTAATAGATGTAACTTCATAAACTGGCATTGAAGACTGAAGGATTTTCACACTAATTGTCAATTATTTTGTTAATGTGTTCCTTTGTTTTTCTTTCTAGATTAAGTCTAAGGGTAACCTCTTGGGATTTTTAAAAATGCATCTAATTCTCCATGTACTTGGCTACAAAATGACAACTGACTTTCATAGGTATAATAAACCTTAAAGCAAACTGATTGTGGAATACCACAGATGGTGTCATTCTGAAGGAGGGAAAGAAAGGGAAAGAGAATCTACAGGGTTCCTTTTATGAATTAGAAGACTTTGTAGTTTAATAGCTTAATCTCACTCTGAACAATTCTGAAAAAGAAAGAGGGGCCAGGGAGACCCATGCCAGTATATAGCAGAGCCCAAATTTGGATCCAGGTCAGTCTCCGACACTACACCATCTGCCTGTCATCAAAACAGCAATCCACAGAAATCAAAAGGGTTCAACACATCCATCACTTTCTATTTTCAAGCTCAGTAGCTAAGGTCCCTGTTGGTGCCCAGTCAATATTAGCTTGAACCATATTAAATTGCCAATTCTGAGGGTCAAAGGGGTCACATACCAGAAATTTCATTTGTTTCCACCTGATGGTTGTATGTAGAATCAAACATTAAGGGAGAGAGGGTAAGGCTTTCCTCTAAAACATTAGACTCAAAAATTTCCCTCCCAGTGGGGAACCAGAATGTATATATTGATGGCCTTCTGAAATCAGTTCTCACTCTACTCCCGGGGGTGATAAGAACAAAATATTTTTATACTTGGGGAGAGAAGTGAATTATCTGTCTTAAATTTATTAAAAACCAAGTATCTGCAAAAGTCATAGTGCCAGTTCTCCGGAAGAACAATTTGATAGTCATTTAATCTAGGTCACCAATGACAACTTTTTCAACTAATTCTCAAATGGATTCTCTATGCCTAAGAACTTTGGAGCAAAGAGACAAAACTATCCAATGTCTATCCAAAATAGGCAAAACTATTTTGGCCGGCACAGTGGGTTGCTCAGATTTTAGTGCCGGGAATCAACAAGTCGGACGTCCATTCAGAAACCCAACTATAAAGACAGTAATTATAAAGACCACAGATGGATAAATTTATAACGAAGGGAAGAAACCAGCCTAAAAAGGTTGAGAATACCCAAACTCAGAATGCTTCTCCCTCTACAGGGGATCACAGTTCCTCATCAGCAACAGAACAAGGCCTGATGGAGAAAGACTGTGTTCCATTAGCAGAAGCAGGCTTTAAAAAGTGGATGATAAGAAACCTCTGGGAATTAAAAGAACTTGTTCTAACCCAATGCAAAGAAACTAAGAACTTTGAAAAAAGGTTTGACGAAATGTTAACAATAACACACAACTTAGAGAGGAATATAAATTAATTAATGGAACTGAAAAACACAACACGAGAACTTCGCAAACTATGCACAAGTTTTAACAGCCGAATTGATCAAGCAGAAGAAAAGATATCAGAGGTCAAAGACCAACTTAATGAAATAAAACAAAAAGACAAGATTAGAGAAAAAAAGAATAAAAAAGAACGAGCAAAGTCTCCAAGAAATATGCGACTATGTGAAAAGACCTAATCTACATTTAATAGGTGTACCTGAATGTCATGAAGAGAATCAATCCAAGCTGGAAAATACGCTTCAGGATATTATTCAGGAAAACTTTCCCAACCTAGCAAGGCAGGACAATATTCAACTTCAGGTAATACAGAGAACACCACAAAGATATTCCTCAAGAAGACCAACCTCAAGGCACATAATTGCCAGATTCACCAGGATTGAAATGAAAGAGAAAATACTAAGGGCAGCCAGAGAGAAAGGTCAGGTTACCCATAAAGGGAAGCCTATCAGACTCACAGCAGATCTCTCAGCAGAAACCCTACAAGCCAGAAGAGAGTGGGGGCCAATATTCAACATCCTTAAAGAAAAGAACTTTCAACCTAGAATTTTACATCCAGCCAAACTAAGCTTCATAAGCAAAGGAAAAATAAAATCTTTTGTGAACAAGCAAGCACTCAGAGATTTCATCACCACCAGGCCTGCTTTACAAGAGCTTCTGAAAGAACCACTACAAATAGAAAGGAACAACCAGTATCAGCCTTTCTAAAAAATACCAAAAAATAAAGAACATCAACATAATTAAGAAATTGTATCAACTAATGGGCAAAACAGCCAGCCAACATTTAATGACAGTATCAAACTCACATATATTATTAATTCTAAATTTAAATCGACTAAATCCCCCAATCCAAAGACACAGACAGGCAAAAAACGCCAAGACCCATTGGTATGCTACATCCAGATCCATCTCACATGCAAGGATACACAAAGACTTAAAACAAAGGGATGGAGAAAAATTTACCAACCAAATAGAGAGCAAAAATAAATAAATAGAAAGCAGGAGTTGCAATTTTTGCTGATAAAATACACATAAAGCAACAAAGATCAAAAGAAGCAAAGAAGGACATTACATAATGATAAAAGGATCAATGCAACAAGAAGAGCTAAAGATCCTAAATATATACGCACCCAATACAGGAATACTCAGATATATAAGACTTATAAAGAGACTTGGACTCCCACACAATAATAGTGGGAGACTTCAACATCAATATTAGACAGATCAATGAGACAGAAAGTTAACATCGGTATTCAGGACTTGAACTCAGTTCCGGAACAAGTAGACTTAATTAACATTTATAGAACTCTCCACTTAAATACACAAAATATACACTCTTATCAGTACAACATCACACCTATTTACAGGTTTAAATGAAATATTGGTTGGCTGCTTGTTAATTATTTTCTTCCCTCATTTTTTTTTTATGTCTCTATTAAACACAATTACAGGCATACCCATTTTTAGACTGCATTCTAGCCCGGGCAATAAAGCAACACCCCTCTTCTCTCTCCCTCTTCCTCTTTCTTCCTTTCCTTCATTCTTTTTTTTTATTCTTTCTCTTTCTTTCTCTCTTTCTTCCTCTAAAAAAAAAAAAAAAAAAAACTATCCAGTGGTCTCTCCTGATGTTTGTCCAACTGTCCACAGGGGATATCTAGTGTCCAACCAGAGCCCAGCTAACATTCAGTCAGGCTGCACAGGAGTGGTATCTGTTCCAAGTCTTAAATGGGATTCTGATTAATGGATGCTCATATCACACTTGTCAGATATTCTGACCACTATTCCTGTTTACATTGCGTCCACTCCCCCTCCACAACACGCGTACATCATCATCATCTTCATCATAAGCCATAGTAATTATGCCCAAGATGGAATTGAAGAGAATGCAGTGGATCCAAAGTCCACTGGCCTGGGCTTCTGGCCCCGGTCTGCCAAGCTAGCAAATGTTAAGGCCTTGAACAACCATTTCAATGGATCTCAGTTTCCTTCTCTGAGAATCCAGGGGCGAGGTCGTTGAAGTGAGCTAAATTCCCTTCCATTTTCAGGTCTTAATAATTCTGTGCTTGCAGAGTTTGAGTTTCAAACAAGCTTCCTTTTTTCAGGTATGTGGTAGAAGGCAAGAGGGTTTCTCTAAGAGAAAGCAAAATTCCCCAGCTACCTTAGATTGCAAAGCTCTCCAGCTGATATATGGGGACTTTTTACTTCTTCAGTGCAGTAAATAGAAAGGTAACTGGAACTGAGCTATGAACTCCCAGGTCCACTGGTGTAGTCCCATTTTGACAGCATTTCATTCCCCTTGTCCCTACCTGGCCTCTCTGACCTTCGGTGGAGCTTGTTGGCCCACTCTCCATTCTGCATAGGCAAGGATGCCATCCTCACAGGCTCATTTTGGACCTTAATATCAGTCCTCACACCAGCTAGCATTTCCTGTGTTCTTAGGTCATGTCAGGCATTGAGCTCAAATCGTCACATAACTCATCTTCTTTCACAATGTGATTATCCTCTTGTTTTACAGATGAGGGAAATGAGGTCTGAGAGATTAAGTCCACTTGCCCCAGATGACTCAGTTAAATCAAGTTTCCAACTCAATCAGGATAAAAGTGCCCACCTCGCTGAATTCATTGTCAACAGGGAATAACAGCAGCGAACATTTGAGAGCATTTACAGTGCTGAGCACTTCACCTGCATCATCTCATTTAATCCTCAATTAAGGGTAGAGTGTAGTGGTGCATGCCTGTAATCCCAGCACTTTGGGAGGCCAAGGTGGGCAAATCACTTGAGGTCAGGAGTTCAAGACCTGCCTGGCCAACATGGCAAAACCCCATCTCTACTCAATATACAAAAATTAGACAGGTGTGGTGGTGGTGCCTGTAATCCCAGCTACTCGGGAGGCTGAGGCAGGAGAATCACTTGAGTCCAGAGGCAGAGGTTGTAGTGAGCCAAGATCGCACCACTGCACTACAGCTTGGGCAACATAGTGAGACTCTGTCTCAAAAAAAAAAAAAAAATGCAATCCTTAATCAAAGGTGGATTCCCTAGCTCCAAAGGCCACATTGGAGCTCCAAGCTCCCCCCACCTCAGCCTCCTGAGTAGGTGGGACTACTCAGTGTTCACCACCATGCCTGGATAGATGCCTGGATAATTTAATTCTTTGTAAAGACAATGTCTCTTTATGTTGTTCATGCTATCTCATGCTCTCTATGTTGCTTGAACTTCTGGCCTTCAGCAATCCTCTCACCTGGGCCTCCCAAAGTGCTGGGATTACAGGCATGAGCCACCATGCCTGGCTGACAATGATATATATTCTTTAAACTCTCAGGTAATTCCCACGTGCAGCCAGAATTGAGAGTCACAGTTTTCAAAGCACTGGCACGTGAGAGAAAGAGCAGGGCCCTGAAGCTAGGAAATAAGCCACATCTACTTTTACAGAGGTAGCATTCCCAGGAATAAGCTATCAAATCTGCAAAGGATGACTCGGCCTTCCACTCAAAATAGTAACCATTGATTGGCCACACTGACCCCAAAAGGATCCAACAATGTCCTCTTTCTAGAATGCAGGTCCTGCTTGAGCCCCTGTTCCTGGTTCCCGTAATAGAAATATTGGTACCACCACTATCCTGTCAGCCTATTATTGCCCAAGTGGGGAGTCCCAGCTCTGGCCACATGCAGACCAGCTTCAGCTACCAACCACAGGATCATGAGGTTTCCTTCTCCACTGGTCTCAGGATCCTCTGCAATGTTACCCTCCACCCAGCTTGGCCTCTGGTGCCCCATTATGCCTTTGTCT